GTGTGTGTGTGTGTATATATATATAAAGGACAAGCACCATATGGGGACGTGGTGGTTGGGTGCTGAGTCTTGTTTCTTCCCATTGGCTGTTTGAATGGTATAGATTTGTCGTTGCCTATTTTCTGTATTTTTCTCCAAGAGGCTACCGACTGGTGTGTTATTTTAATTATGGTTATGGCTTTTCCCAAAATAAATTATAAATAAATCCGAACCACGATGGATTCATCCACACAAAGAACCTTGACAAATTGATGTAAAAACACATTAGAGCGTGTTTGGGAACAGTTTGAAATCATGTTCCTTTAAAATTTAATTATTATTTTTTTGTTAAAAATTATACTTTAAATAATTTTGAAAAAATATTATTTTACAGCATTCTAAAACAAAAAATACTTTAACTGAGTAAAACAAGAATATCAAGTAAATGTAAAAACATTCATGTTCTTGTCTTCTTTTGATGAATGAAGACTTTTAGTTTTCATTAAAGTATCTTACCTTGATGTTTACAGCCTCAGATGTGCAGCTGTGATTTAATTCAAAATATGCTTCAGGGCTCCTCTCTAGTATATTGTTCTTCTTACAAAATGGTAACCAGTGAGTAGCAAACTTGGATGCCTCCATGAAAGCAAAAAGAGTCAAGGCTGAGCCTCCATCATCAGATACATAAACTGAAATCTTCTCTGTTGGATAGTCGTACGCCATTACAGATAAAGCCGTATTCACTACACTTATAGGTGGCTCCTTGTATGGATCGGCGGTGCATATAAACACGTCCAAGGCAGGAAAATCACTCCTTTCCATTATTTTTTTAAGGTTTTCAGGGAATTGTTTTCTATAGACTGGAAACATTCGAAAAGTCTGTGTGCTGACCCAGAAAAATGCTAGAACAAGATCGGAGATTAACAAAGCGAGGGTTACGGAGAACGAGACCAGGGTTGTGGAGTAGAAGAGTGTTTTTGCATGGTAAAAGAGTAGAGCTAAAATGGAAAAAGCATAAATGGTTGCAAATACACGGTTGAAAAGTGTTCTGCCCAACGGCTTAACCGTGTGAAGAGAAGTATGCCCGCCTCTGCTGGTGGCTTGGATGGCGCTGCCTCCTTGCTGACGAGCCTCCATACTTATTGTCGGTGCTATATCCTCAGTATGATTGCGGGCCTTTATTTAAAGACTTGTGTTGAGACGGACAGATCAGTTAGGACAGGAAAAAAAAAAAAAAATCTTTGATTAATGTGGTTAGATGACATAAAAAGAATAAACTAAAACGAAAGGAGGAAGGGAACACTTGTTCTAGCACAAGGAACATTTCACCGTGAATTTTAGCAGTAACCTCGTTCAAATAGCAATTGGTTTTGCGGTATTAGAATCCTTTGTTTTATATCAATAGTAAAAATACTAAAAATGTTACTGGAGACCAAAAAAAATTATACTTTTAGTTCAGTAGCATTATTGGTTTTTTAAAATGTTTGAGTATTTATTAAAATACCTTTTAAATCAACAAAATCCAAGCTATATTTATCCTTTCATATAAATATTTTTGTTATTTTTTTATTTTATCAATGGCATTATTGAAAACATAAATTTAAAAAATTACGAAGTGATACAAGTAATGATACCGAATTAATCATATATAAAACAAATTATAATACATTATAAAAATTATTTTTTAATAAATTAAATGTTAAGATATAAGATTAAATAAGGCATAGATTTAGATTATTTTTTTTTTACTGTTTTTCTTTACAATATTCAAACCAAATGTTGAAGTGACATGGATTAACTGCTTTCTTTACTGTTTTTTTTAATAATTTTTTGTGTGTTTTTATAGATTTGGTTTTTTTTTTATTATTTGCTACTTTACCTAGTTTTCTTCTACTAACAAACCTTTATAGTTTATTAGATTTTAATTTCTGTCTAAAAATCATATCTGATATTTTAGACATTTATTTTGATCAACTGATATTCTTAAAATCTTAATCTCTTATTCATCACGAGGATTTTCGTAGAATCTAAAATCTAAATAAATGTCTCTTTCCATTCAATTGTTCCTATGTATTTACGAAACCCACATCTATATTATGGCAAATTTAGATGGTTGTTGTCTCCTTTCTGTACAAGTTTTAAGTATTGATTTTAAAATTTTAATTGATAACACATAACATTCTTCTTAATGAGATAGATTATATATACCGAAAAGGAAAATAAAAGACACAAAAAATAATGGAACCTCATTTTGTAATTATTTTATTACACTATTTAATAATATTACAGCAGTCCCTCTTCAAAATATTTTTTAATTTCAAAATACATCGATATAAATTTTTTATTTTTATTTCTTACTTACCAGATATGCATCCTAAGGAGGAACGTTGTTGTAGATCGGCAAATAAAGTAAAACAGCCACTTCCTTTACAACATGAATCAAATGCCCTCATATTCTTACCAGCAAATGAAAGAAGATGCTGCATAGAATGCACCTGCCAGAAGTGTTGCCATGATGGTGGTTTTGATAGGCATTTTCCCCTTGTCATTTCTCAAAGCTATGGCTTCGTAAATTGGCCAAGAATTCACCACAGCAAAACCTGATATGAACATCTGCACAAATAGTCCCTCCAAATTGTTTCCTCTGAAAACTTCAACAAGCCCTTGGGAAAATGAGATTAAATTAATTATGGCCGCCAATGTTAGGGAGACAAACATGGGTGAATGTACCCCAAACTCAAAGATCCCTTGTTCGTATCTTTTACTCTGTTCAGCATCAACTGCTTTGCTTGTGACCGTAAAGCCAGATGCTGAAATTCCCAAGAACTTGAGGAAGAACTCTATAGAACCAAATAAATAACACGTCACTCCCCTTATGTGCCAAAATCGCTGATCATTCCACCATCTCTGGACTGATCCACCGGCTAAGACAAAGTCAAGACAGTCTTGTCCATAGGCCCCAAGGAAGAGAAACGCATACAAGAAAAACCATGGGTCTGAAACCTGCAACAAATGTTACGATAAATTCAACAAAGAAACTTCTATAGAACCAATTTAAGTAGCTTATTGATAGATCACGCGAATATCTCATTGGCCTTCAAGCGAATCCATCTCTACTTGCTACGGCTTTCTAAATTCATGTCGGATTCTTTTTTCTTCCTTTTTCCCTGAAAGAAACTTTGTTTTATTCTAAAAAAAGAATAGCACACCTTTGGGAATATAGAAACTTTGTTGAGAAGAGCTAGCTGGGGAAGGAAAGCATATGTGGTGATTGGAATAGACCATATGGCCCAAAATGCTAGCTGTGCGTAGCCAAGGCCCATCAAGATACCCTTGGATCTAACGCCGAAGGTTGCAGGGCTATGTTTTGAGAAGCCCACTTCAAGAAGTCCAATTGACCATCTCTTTTGTTGATTCAGAGCATCAGCCAAGTTGATGGGAACGTCACCCAAAAACGCGGGCCTTTCAGGATTACAGAAAATGCCTTTCCACCCCTCGCATTGCAACCTAAAACCTGTGTAATAATCCTCCACTAATGATCCATATCTGAATCCAATCTGCATATTTTACAACCATTTACACTATAGCAAGCATAACAACACAATAAATAACGTTAATCTTGAGCAATGATCATGAACTTACCTTAGAGCCCCAGTCGGTTTGGTTCTCATAATTGCAATCTGCTACTTGATGTGCCTGTGCCAAAACTGACTGGGATTGGATGGGCTTGTCCACAACATGGTCTGGGGATAGTTCAGGAATCTCTGGTGATATTAGGCTTGATGGACTTCCAAAGAAAGCTCTCCGATGAAAGAAACATCCAGTTCCAACATAATTAGGACCCTCTACTCCATCCATCCCCATTGTATTAATTACAAACAAACGTTTATATTCACCACAATAGATGTCGTTTTTATTGATTCCACGATATATCTGAGGAAACTGAACGTATGCTAATGTGGACCTAATTGCTGGATCGCATAGATAACACATTGCCCGTAGAAGTGTTTGTGGATCATTCGAGCAGAAGTCGCAATCTAGAGTCAAGATTATTGGTGCATTGGTCATGCTGCTTGATACTCGTAGCTACAATAGCAGTAAGAGAAACGCGCATTAATCTATTAATAACTAGCTAGCAACATGAATTCAAATCTTTATGCTATTACTTACATAGCAGTAAGACAGGACATGGATTCAAATCTTCGCTGTATAATTTCATTTTGAATAATGTATACTTTAATATTGTTTTGTTCGGAACAAAAAAAGAATAATCGTAACATTAGAATTATGATTAATCATTTAACTTATACATATTCTTTACAAATTAATATATGCTTCGGTCTAGGTTTTTTCTTTTAATGATTTTATATGCTATTGTGTTCTAAAAACAAAATGAGCTAGTAAGAGAAATCAGTATGCACTACAAAGTATATTTGAAGTTCCGAATACAGTAAAATTTCTTCTCTTTGTCGATCCAGGCGTAACCTAACAATGAAAAATCGTCGTGTTAATGTTTTTTTTTCTTTATGGTGATATTTTCTATAATATTTATGGGTGCGATCATTAACATATATACAAAGGTGTGTAAATGGTTTGTTTAAGACTGAAAAAAATAATAATTTAATCTTGACATGCGAAAACCGATGATACTTTTTTTTAAAAAAAAATTGAACTTAGAATTTTGTGATTGTGGAGAGGCATATATTTATTTACCAAGGCATTGAGGGCACCGGCTTTGAAATGATGAGGTAAAGCCTTGCATTTTCCTCTAGAAACGTAGATGAGATTTGGCATCAGGTTACCAGCGGTGTCTTTGTCCTTGCTTGCATCTAGTAGAACCTGCTCATAGTTCAAACAAATACGTAGGATGTGGGTATATATATACATAAGTGAATCAAACCAATCACATTATGTTGATATATATATATATATATATGTGTGTGTGTGTGTGTGTGTATTCATATGAACCTGGTTATTCATGTGATAATTTATAACAACTCCTATGATTAATGTGTCTTTGTATATATTTGTCTCTAAACAAAAGGTTTGAGAAGCTGTGATGGAAATGCAAACCTGAATGACAGCGGGATGGTCTTGTCGTGTGAAGTTATCAGTCCATTTGTTGAAGATCTCTTGTTGTTGATCCAGGCCAGTGATATACTGATCATCGACTTCTCCCTTCTCAACAGCATTCTCTACCTTGGCTTTCATGCTTTTATACATCACCTTATTACATATTTAAAACTAATCATTTCAGGTTTCACTAATCCTCACATGTTGAGAAAAAAACACCTTATCAGGAATTTTCATCAACTAATTAAATTTATTTTAATTTATCTTTCCTGATATGTCGGGAGAATTCATTAAACACCACGGACCGAATTGTAATCGGGCGAAAGAGAAAACAGAATAGAGAAATATTAAAAGCCTCTCACGGCCTGGCATGATGGCTCCAAACAAACTATGTAAATTTATTAATTTGAAACTAATTTCCGAACAAATATTGTTTTGGGTTTCTCCCAATTGAAACCTTAATATTCTTTACACGTAGTTTTTTTTTTCCAAGAAAAATCACATATAGTGTCTAAATTACATTTCACCTTTCACATACACAGTTAAGGAGACTTCAATGCACCTACACTGAGACTAAATTTTAGAATATCTCCTTTGGTGAGGTTAACCGGATGCATTGCACCTTTCACACCCGCACACATCTAGGGGGACCCGTGGCAACTATATTGAGACCAGAGTTTAGAATTATCTCCTAAAGTAAGATTAATTAGATGCAAATACGCAACTTCTTTAAGAAACCAGCAATGGGACTCAAACTAAAATCTCAAGATGAATGATTTTTTGTTCTTTACCACTCAAGGCATATTGTTTATTACTTGCTGCCTGCGTTTCTTAGCATTGTCATGCTATTTTTTTATTTATTTTTTTACAAATAATGATATCCAAGTGTCAAAATAGGATAAAAAATTATATAAAAAATAGTCATAACAAAATATATAACTCTAGTAATTAGGCCTGAATTAATTAGGGATATCGGATCAAATTCATAATGGATCCGAATCATTAAATTTAAATAATTTAATAAAAAATAGAATTATAAAATTTATTTATCTCTGGTTAGTTTAAGAAATAACAAATGAGTCATATGGAAAAAATTATATGCTCGTGAAACCCAGTGCTAAATTCTTTGCGTCGAGATGCAAAAAAATCATTAGACTTTTTGAATAAATATTAATATAAATGTCTCTATAGCTACGATATCTTTTAAATAGCAAATAGCTTTTTTCAATATACAATGCTCAATTAGAAACTTGGTATCCTAGTGGGTATGGGGTGGGGGCTCGTCTACGGCTTCTCTATAAACCAATTATATTTGTTTTGGGTGATTTCGAGGAGAGTAGAAGAGAAAAGAGAGGTTAAACTAGGGATGATAAAGAATATATAGAGTTGAGGTTTCTATTATATTTATACAATATTTATTATTCAATAACTAATGAATTTAGATATCTTTATTCTATTTTCGATATTTGAGATAATAATTATTTATTATCGAATATATATATATATATATATATATATGGGTTTTGGATGAAATTCCCATACTTAGTTATAATCTTCCATCCTTATTTGATGCTACCGCTAATATCTGAGATGATGTTTTTATCGTTGTGGTGATCTAAGTTATTAACTTGATGATGTTATGTGTATCTTTTAATTAAGTTAAGGAAGAAACATTGTAATTATATTATTTGATGTAGGAGAAGAATTTTGGTGAACTACAATTTTGTGATATATTTTTCATACGGAGATTTTCCATGAAAAAAACCGCCGATTATATATATAGTTGTGTGTTTGATTATTTTCTATTCTATTATTGTTAATTTAGTTATTTCTATTTTAATTGTACGTTGTGTTTGATTATTTTCTATTCTATTATTTTTAATTTAGTTATTTCTATTTTAATTGTACAAAGAGAGAGAAAAGTTTAGGAGTTATGATTTGTAAGAAACTGAATTTTTTACACTTAAAAATGAATATATATATATATATATATATATATAAAAGAAACTGAATAAATCAAACTACTTATAGACTGACCCAATAACTCTAGCAATGAATGGATTGTATTTCAGTGTCGAATTTAATAACAATAACATTGCTATATAGTAGGAATGTGATTTGATCCATCTTCTTTTTATTAGTATTATTTCAATTTATGTATAATAATATTTAGAAATATTTCTGCCAAGAAAGCTGAGTTGCAACTTGCAACTCTAGTTGTCGGCGACGACACGGCGCGATGAATTTAATATCTGGAGGAAAATATAAAGGATTTGCTCGAGATGGTTCTGAGGTGGGGACGCAAGATTATAAATAATAGAGGACGGGTCCCTCTTCTCCTCACAAATGTCCACCAAGATGACGGCACAAATAGCTGCTCCAAAGCGGACGCTACTGACTTATTCTGTCACAGCTGTCTTTTATATGCTCATCATTGAGGGCATCATTTCTAGGCCACATGATAGAATACGCCGAGCGGCCGGTCCATTACCTCTTATTATTTACCCTTTCTTTATATAATATATATATATATATATAGAAACAAATAGACTATAAACAACATCTTTTATGTCAATGACACCCAAAAAAAATATTAAATGAATGGAATTTAGATATAGATGGAATATAATGAAATAATCACTTTAAGGTTCCTATAAAATAAGGCATGAAGCTAAGAAATTACAAAGAAGTTCCAGGAGTTATCAAGAAAATTTCAAGCATATATTGGTCGTAGGTTAAAAATAAAAATTGAACGTATAAAATCTAAACTGTTATTTTTTCTCAATAGCTAAGTGATAGGGTAGTTGACTATTAGCTAAATGGTTGTAGGTTCGAGTACTACTTGGAAAGATTTGATTCCTTTTGAATTTTTTTGAAAATAAAGCTAGTAATTGGAATAAAATCCTAACAAGATAACTGTATTAGAAGGTGCAGCTGAATCACTTTTTTTTCAAGAAGAGGTAATGATTGTTAAGTATTTTGGTTTGATATTGTTTTACCCCTAAAAAATAAGAAGTTATGTATGAGTTAAACTTGTCGACAAAATCTTTTTTTATTTCTTGATAGTGAAGTAAAACAAACCTAATGACCTTATTATTTTAGGTCGGAATAAGTTAATAAAATTCCTTTTTTTAGGCCCATATATATATATATATATATATATATATATATGCTTGCTTAAAGCTCCTTAGTTATATTCAAAGACCTTATTAACTGTACACTTCACTAATCAATTTATTTCCAATTAAATAGCCCCCTTTATGGACGCATGTCTTAATTTAAGACTCTCTCATTGAAAATGGAATTTTCTAGCAATTAATTACTAGAAAAAACGTATTCGTTTCTTAACTATCAAAGTTCAAAACCTTAATTCAAGTTATAAGAAGTAAAGTTTCAAAAATCATGTTGTTTTAGTATAGATAGCATGCCTTCATCTTAAAAGTACTCTCAATTTTAATTTTCATACACACATGGGCAGATCTTAGCCTACACATAAAAAATGATGATTTAATTTATAAATATAAAAAGTAGCAAGTATAAGAAAATAAAAAGAAGAGAGCATTAAAAAAAAATGCCTGAGCATTTTTAGACGGCGGAAAAAAATGGTTAAGTCTTCAGATTTTGATAGCGCATCTCAAGATTCATTAGATCTCGTAATGAAAAGAGAAGCAAATGAGTCGCCATGATTAATTTGAGAAAATTCATGCTTATTCTCGTTTTTCTACATGTACACGACTAAAACACTACATTAAAGTCTCGTGTATATGTAGAAAATATTCTTTTATGAATGAAAACATATTCTTAAAGTATCTTACCTCAATCTTCTCACTCTCAGAGGTGCAAGGATGATTGGATTCAAAATATGCCTCAGGGCTCCTCTCTAGTATATTGTTCTTCTTGCAAAATGGTAGCCAGTGGGTAGAAAACTTGGCAGCCTCCATGAAAGAAAAAAGAGTCAAGGCTGAGCCTCCATCATCAGATACATAGACTGAAATCTTCTCTTTTGGATAGTCATATGCCATCACTGATAAAGCCGTATTCACCACACCTATTGGTGGCTCCTTGTATGGATCAGCGGTGCATATGAACACGTCTAAAGCTGGAAAATCACTTCTTTTCATGACTTTTTCAACATTTTCAGGGAATTGCTTACGACAGACTGGACACATGCGAAAAGTCTGCGTGTTGATCCACATGAAAGTAAGGACAAAATCGGATAGTGACAAAGTGAGGTTTATAGAGAAGGAGACTAAGGTTGTGGAGCACAGCAGTGTTTTTGCATGGTGATAGAATAGAGCTAAAATGGCAAGAGCATAAACTGTGGCAAACATGGGGTTGAAAATTGTTAATCCCATGGGCTTAACCGTGTGAAGAGGAGGAGGACCACCACCGGTAGAGGCTTTTGTAGTGCCGGATTCTTTTGGTCGATCCTCCATGCTTTCTGGTGGTGTAGGCTAGTATCTCAGGAGCAATGAGCGTTTATATATATTTCGTAGCTATCCAAAATTGTATTATCAATTGTTTAGTTTTTATATGAAAATATATCACAATAATTTTTTTATTTATATTTTAAAATTTATTTTTAATATTATAATATCAAAATAATTTAAAAATATAGATAGGAAAGAAAACTTACTTATGAGAATTCGCTTTCTTATTCCTGAATCAATTACTTCAGTGCTACTTCAATTACTAGAACCAAAGTGATGTTCCACAGTACAAATGTCTTTATAAATCTTATCAAGTTAATGCAAAAAATCAAGATAGAAGAAGAGAAAGAAAGAACTATGTATTTTCAATAATGAAAAACTTATGTTTCATATGGGTTATGTCTCTTTATATATTATTAGAGAAGGTGGTTACTTCCTTTAGTAACTTCTCTAATAAATTGGATCAGGCTCATCCATCATGGACGGACCAAGTCTAACTTAATAACCAACAAAAAATATAAAATAAAATTTAATTTTTTAAAAAATACGATTTTAACTACAAAAAAATCTTCAAATAAACATGAAATTTAATGAATAGTTTTTTTTTCCTTACACATTTATATGATTGAAAATAGCACTCTATGAAGTTCAAACTTATATACAACATCAATTATTTATGCATAATATTTTTTTACGTAGAAGAAGAAGAATAATAAGGATGATTATTAGATTGAATCTCATAGCATTAAAAATTTAATAGTATATCAAATAAATGAATTTCTGAAAAGTAAATTATTTTTTTTATATTTGGTAATATCATTAAAAATAAATTGAAAAACACTTCCCAGTGTTTGGTTATGTAATAAAAATAAATTGAAAAATAACTTATTAATATTTTTTTTCAAGTTTATTAAAATAATGAGAAACAAATCATACAAATTAAAAATTGAATAAGAATAAAATTGAAAAACAAAATCTAATTTCATAAATTATCTCAAATAAAATAAATAACAATCAAAATAATAGAGATCAAATTTAAAAGATAAAAAATTTGAAAGATGATGAAATTAAAAAAAATACAATTTCATAAATTATTTCAAATAAAATAAAATGCAATCAAAAGAATAAGAACCAAATCTTATAGACAAACAAATTCAATTAAAAAAATAATAAAAGTAAAGTAAATAACAATCATAAAAATAAAGACCAAAGTTGATATAAAATTTAAATTAAATCAAATTCTAAGGCATGAGATTAAAAAACAAGATTTAAAATAAAATATGCAGCAATTAAAAGTTTGATTATCAAATTTGATATAATCACCAAATAACATGATATTTTTAAATTTTTTATAACTTCTGTAAAATATTTTCTATCTAAAATTAAAAAGAAAAATACTTCTCTAAAAATTAAACTAATTTTTTTCAACAGAAAAATATTTTTTATTAATCAATTTTTTTAATACTAAATAAATTCAAACAAATTATTAGACAGGTATCTTCATGATATAAAATTTGTTTATTTTTATTTTTATTTTGCTTTAAATTAACATTATTTTAATATTTTCAGATTATTTTGATGTTCTGATATTAAAAATAATTTTAAAAAATAAAAAAAATAATATTTTAATATATTTTTAAATAAAAATATTTTAAAAAACAATTACAACAATATTTTTAAACATAATTATATTATCAAACCAATAATGTGCGGTGATGTGAGGCTTGATGGATTCGAGTATAAAGTTTGCCGTTGAAAGAAACATCCGGTTCCAAGATAACTAGGGCCGTTAATCCATCAAATTTGTGTGTTTGTCCTATTAATGGAATTCAATTATGATATCGATTTCATTAAAAGCGTTGGGACATCACTTTTACTTTAATCATATAAAAAAAAATTTAATTAATAAAATTTTAAATGTACTTTTTAATTTAATCATATATAAAAAAATAAAATTTAATTAATAAAATTTTAAATGTACTAATTACCGGTTTAAACTTTATAAATTTTAAAATTATTAAAAATTTATATAAATATTAATTTTAAAACTATAAGATTAATTAAAATATATATATAAACTACACCAAACTAGCACGTTAATAAAAATAAAAAATAAAAAAAGCATTGGATAAGATTTGTCAGCCACCAATTGAACTATGCTGTCGAAGCATAGAGGAAAATTACAAAATCATACGTTATAAATGCATACAAAATGTGGGGCACCGATTCAAATTTCAAACTCGTGCAAGCCCTCACATCGAGGTGTGACCGCTAGTTGTCAGATATGCTAATGTATAAGGGAAAAGGTTAATGGATGGCAAAATTAAGTGAACCTTCTTTTAATATAAAAAAAGAAGAGGACATTCGAAGGAGGAATGCCGCAATAAATTATCATATAATTCATCGACAAGTCCCCATTAATGTTCTTACATGAAAACGAAACAAGATGCAGTATACAATGTACCTGCCAGAAGTGTTGCAATGATACTGGTTTTAATAGGCATTTTCCCCTTATCCTTTCTCCATGCAATGGCTTCATAAATTGGCCAAGAATTCACCACGGCAAAACCAGATATGAACATCTGCACAAATAATCCCTCCAAATTGTTTCCTCTGAAAACCTCAACAAGCCCTTGGGAAAATGAGATTAAATTGATTATTGCTGCCATTGTTAGGGTCACAAACATGGGTGAATTTACCCCAAACTCGAAGATCCCTTGTCCATATCTTTTACTTTGTTCATTATCAACTACTTTGCTTGTCACATTGAAGCCAAATGATGAAATTCCCAAGAACTTGAGGAAGAACTCTACGGAACCAAATACGTAACTTGATATTCCTCTTATGATCCAAAATCGCTGATCACTCCACCATCTCTGGATTGATCCGCCGGCTAAGATGAAGTCAAGAAAATCTTGCCCATATGCCCCCAAGAAAAGAAATGCGTACAGGAAAAACCATGGCTCTGACACCTGCATCACGTGTTTTCCAGATTCTTTTAATAAATTAATGTTAAATTTATAGAATAGTATTAAAGTTAAAAATTATTTCAAACAAACAACAAGAGTATATAAATTGAAGCTTTCACAATTTTAGTTACTATGTTATATTTTTTAAAATAAATATGTTATTGGTAGATATATTTGGAAGCAGAAAAGGATAAAAACATTAACAAGAAAAGAAATGCAGCATGACCAAAAAATAAAAAGGTTTTTGAAGAAATTAAATTAGGCGATAGGTAATAATTTAAAAAGATAAAATTTAATATTCTAATTATAAAACATGACATTCAATTAACTATATTTCTAGATATAAATATAATACTAGTATTTAACATCATTATTTAAAAAAAAAAACGAATTATCATCTAATTAATTAGTGGTATTTTGATCTATCAAAATAATAAAAGTAGATTATAAAGTGATTTTAGCAAAATATAGAATAGAAATAACACAATCATTTTCATTTTCGTATGATTGATAGAATTAGAAGATAGTGAATTTAGTTTGGTTGGAAAAAATAGCGTACCTTCGGGAATATATAAACTTTGTTGAGAAGAGCTAGCTGGGGAAGGAAAGCGTATGTGGTGATCGGAATCGACCACATGGCCCAGAATGCCGACTGTGCATAAGCAAGTCCCATCAAAAGACCTATTGCTTTAACACCGAAGGTTGCTGGGCTATATTTAGAGAACCCCACCTCGAGAAGTCCAATTGACCATCTCTTTTGTTGATTGAGCGCATCATTCAAGGTGATGGGAACGTCACCCAAGAACGCAGGTCTATCAGGATCGCAAAATATGGACTTCCAACCCTCGCATTGCATCCTGAAACCTGTGTGATAATCCTCAGACAATGATCCATATCTGAATCCGATCTGCTCATTTTAAAACCAGTTATATACCATCCGCATTGAAGATAACATATACAAAGATACCGAATGAAAAGAAGACTTGCTATGCAAATGAAGTTTTTAAACAAGAGCAATGTACATAACTATTTATTCTGTCAGATGAGTCTCGTCCATCCAATTGTCGAGTAATTTCAATTATCGATTTAGTGAGTGTCAGCAATGCGTGTCCTTTTAAAAATCTTGCTTCGAGGTTAAAATATGGGCGCAAAAAAAGACCAACTCTAAAAGTCTTGAGCATCAATCGATGAGTTACCTTTGAGCCCCAGTTACTTCGGCTTTCATAAGTGCAACTTGTTACTTGATGTGCTAGTGCCAGAACCGACTGCGACTGGATAGGCTTGTCCACGATATAGTCCGGGGCTAGTTCAGGAATCTCTGGTGATGCGAGGCTTGATGGACTTCCGTAGAAAGCTCGTCGTTGAAAGAAACATCCAGTTCCAAGATAATTAGGGCCACTTAATCCATCAAATCCCATGACATTAATTTGATACAAACGTTTGAATTCGGCATTGTATATGTCACTTTTGTTGATTCCTCGAAATATTTGAGGAAATTGAACGTAAGCTAATTGAGGCCGAGTTTCTGGATCACCCAGATAACACATTGCCCTCAGCGGTGTTTCGGGGTCATTAGAGCATGAGTCACAGTCTAGAGTTAGGATTATCGGCGCATTGGTCATGCAACCTGATACTCTTAGCTACAGCACAAATAAGAAAAACGACTGTTATTCTAATAAGAGTTCGTAAAGAGTAGGTTGGCATTACGCAGCCGATTTAAAGCAGTGTCCCAACTTAATTAATAATGTCATGAGTATACTGGACATGCATACTAACCAAGGCATTGAGGGCACCAGCTTTGAAGTGGTGAGGTGAAGCCTTGTTTTTCTCTCTAGAGACGTAGATGAGATTTGGCATCGAATAACCAGCGATGTCTTTGTCCTTGGTAGCATCTAACAAAACCTGTTCATGGCTCAGAAAATGTGAAGGATACAGGTGAGTAGGTTTTTGAATCGTGACCATCATACGTGGGATCTTTTTTTTTTTTAACAAAAATAATATTTTAGGTCTGTTTGTCGTTAAAAAATAATGTTTTTTATAAATTGAGTTTCAGAAAAATAAATTATTTTCTAATATTTTATAATATAATAAAAAATAAATTAAAAAATACTTTTCAGTATTTGAATATGTCATGAAAAATAAGTTAGAAAATAACTTATTAATATTTTTTTAGTTTATTAAAATAATAATAAAAATCTTACAAATTAAAAAGTTGAATAAAAATGAAATTTAAAAAATATAATTTTATTAATTATCTTAAATAAAATAAATAATAAATAAAATAATAGAGATCAAATTAAAAAATTAAAAAAATAATAATTATCATTTCATAAATTATTTTAAATAAAATAAATAACAATCAAAAGAATAAAGATCAAATTTGTTAAATAAAAAATTTCAATTAAAAAATAATAAGAAAAAAGCAAATAACAATTCTAAAAATGAGAACCAAAGTTAATATAAAAATTAAATTTTAATGGATGAAATTAAAAAAATAATTCAATATATATATATATATAACAATTAAAAGTTTAAGGATCAAATTTGATATAATCAGCAAATAATATAATATTTTTAAATTTTTCATAACTTTCAAAAAGTGTTTTTCACTGAAAATAAATAAATCAAATTTTTTTTAATTAAAAAATATTTTTTATTAATTAATTTTTTAATAATAATAAAATTTAGAAATAATTTTTTAGAAATCACTTACTCAACGAAAAGAACACCATTAACTTGAGTATATTTGCTAAACCATTCTATTTTGATTGATTAGAGAATCTGATATGACCCAAGACTTAATCTTGATGGAATTTGAAATTAAATTAGTTAAGAAGAAGATCTAATTATATCTAATTAAGAGAAATTGTTTGAGAATACAATAAAATTTATTTTTTAAAATGTTGTATTAAAATAATATGTTTTTATTTTAAAAAACTTATTTTTTTTTTATTTTAACACATATAAAAAATAAAAAAAATCAAATTCTTAGAAAACACTGTTTCAACTGAAATCGCTGTAATTCAATAAATTTGGTATAAATTTGTTTGGATTAAAAATCAATATAATATTTTTTTATTAAAAAAATTAAAAATAAGATTAACTGAAATCAACTATCGAGTGAAGCGCCAATGTGAACTTCAGATGAGATCAGAGGCCGTCAAAATCAATAAAGAAGACAAGAACAGGTTCAATAATGATATGTGCGTGTACTAGTTTGTATACTTTCCCCCAATAGAAGTAGTAATCAACCAGCTCTTATGGGCATTATTGATTCTGTTAAAGGGAACCTGAATCACAGCTGGATGGTCTTGTCGTGTGAAGCTATCAGCCCATTTGTCGAAAGCTTCTCGTTCTTGGCCACTAGTGATGTTCTCATCGTCAACCTTTCCCCTCTCAAGAACACGCTCTACCTTCACTTTCATGCTTTCATAGATCATCTGTGACATTATCAAGAAACCAGACGATAAGTTATTTACAGTAATTACATGCTTCCTCTACGACATTTGATTCTGTTTTCTTTTTTCTTTTTTATATTCTTATCTTATTTAAGAATTCTTAATATTTATATCTATCTATTAAATATCTAATAATCATTACATTATTATTTATTATTTGATATAAAATTAAAAAAATATTTGTAAATATATAAAAATATACTAAACAACAAAATCGTAAATATATTGCTAGGGGGGAATAAAAATTATTTTTTAAAATAATATTTTGATATTAGAATATTAAAACGATTTAAAATAATTATTTATTTTTTATGTTTAAAAATTATTTTTTTATATTTTAAATTTATTTTTTTCAATGATTTTAAATCCTTTTGATATATTAATATTAAAAATAAATTTTAAAAAATAATAAAAGTATTATTTTAATATATTTTAAAATTAAAAAATATTTTAAAATGCAATCAAAATAATTAAAGAATCACAGTGTTTTTGAGTGACTGTCACTCTTTTTAAGGGATGTGATAAGATTGCATAGTAATCTCAATTATCGGGGATTAGGATATGATTCATCCAAATAAAGGAAAGAGCAAATAAATAATGTATGGCAGATATATTCTGCCACAAATTGCCGGTTCCTCTCACCGACGACTACCCCCACTTGCGCAGAAAAGTCCAAGATCCACCACAATAAACTGTGCCATTAGATATAAAAGATTTTAGCCCCGGGCCACGCATACAGATGGATTATAACTGTGCAAATCAATATGAATCTTTTACTTTATTCTTTTCTAAAAGTTTCCTTAGACCTCGTTTATATAATTTCCTTAAACTAACGTGCTGAGGAAACCAGTCGGACCGGCGAGCACGCACATCTTCTGTATATGTAAATTAAAAACTGCAACTAGGGGAAGAATAAGAGCCAAGGATTCGAATTAATATATATATAGAACAAGCACCATATGGGGACGTGGTGGTTGGGAGGTGAGTGTGTGGGTGTGTATATATATATAAAGGACAAGCACCATATGGGGACGTGGTGGTTGGGTGCTGAGTCTTGTTTCTTCCCATTGGCTGTTTGAATGGTATAGATTTGTCGTTGCCTATTTTCTGTATTTTTCTCCAAGAGGCTACCGACTGGTGTGTTATTTTAATTATGGTTATGGCTTTTCCCAAAATAAATTATAAATAAATCCGAACCACGATGGATTCATCCACACAAAGAACCTTGACAAATTGATGTAAAAACACATTAGAGCGTGTTTGGGAACAGTTTGAAATCATGTTCCTTTAAAATTTAATTATTATTTTTTTGTTAAAAATTATACTTTAAATAATTTTGAAAAAATATTATTTTACAGCATTCTAAAACAAAAAATACTTTAACTGAGTAAAACAAGAATATCAAGTAAATGTAAAAACATTCATGTTCTTGTCTTCTTTTGATGAATGAAGACTTTTAGTTTTCATTAAGGTATCTTACCTTGATGTTTACAGCCTCAGATGTGCAGCTGTGATTTAATTCAAAATATGCTTCAGGGCTCCTCTCTAGTATATTGTTCTTCTTACAAAATGGTAACCAGTGAGTAGCAAACTTGGATGCCTCCATGAAAGCAAAAAGAGTCAAGGCTGAGCCTCCATCATCAGATACATAAACTGAAATCTTCTCTGTTGGATAGTCGTACGCCATTACAGATAAAGCCGTATTCACTACACTTATAGGTGGCTCCTTGTATGGATCGGCGGTGCATATAAACACGTCCAAGGCAGGAAAATCACTCCTTTCCATTATTTTTTTAAGGTTTTCAGGGAATTGTTTTCTATAGACTGGAAACATTCGAAAAGTCTGTGTGCTGACCCAGAAAAATGCTAGAACAAGATCGGAGATTAACAAAGCGAGGGTTACGGAGAACGAGACCAGGGTTGTGGAGTAGAAGAGTGTTTTTGCATGGTAAAAGAGTAGAGCTAAAATGGAAAAAGCATAAATGGTTGCAAATACACGGTTGAAAAGTGTTCTGCCCAACGGCTTAACCGTGTGAAGAGAAGTATGCCCGCCTCTGCTGGTGGCTTGGATGGCGCTGCCTCCTTGCTGACGAGCCTCCATACTTATTGTCGGTGCTATATCCTCAGTATGATTGCGGGCCTTTATTTAAAGACTTGTGTTGAGACGGACAGATCAGTTAGGACAGGAAAAAAAAAAAAAATCTTTGATTAATGTGGTTAGATGACATAAAAAGAATAAACTAAAACGAAAGGAGGAAGGGAACACTTGTTCTAGCACAAGGAACATTTCACCGTGAATTTTAGCAGTAACCTCGTTCAAATAGCAATTGGTTTTGCGGTATTAGAATCCTTTGTTTTATATCAATAGTAAAAATACTAAAAATGTTACTGGAGACCAAAAAAAATTATACTTTTAGTTCAGTAGCATTATTGGTTTTTTAAAATGTTTGAGTATTTATTAAAATACCTTTTAAATCAACAAAATCCAAGCTATATTTATCCTTTCATATAAATATTTTTGTTATTTTTTTATTTTATCAATGGCATTATTGAAAACATAAATTTAAAAAATTACGAAGTGATACAAGTAATGATACCGAATTAATCATATATAAAACAAATTATAATAAATTATAAAAATTATTTTTTAATAAATTAAATGTTAAGATATAAGATTAAATAAGGCATAGATTTAGATTATTTTTTTTTTACTGTTTTTCTTTACAATATTCAAACCAAATGTTGAAGTGACATGGATTAACTGCTTTCTTTACTGTTTTTTTTTATAATTTTTTGTGTGTTTTTATAGATTTGGTTTTTTTTTTTATTATTTGCTACTTTACCTAGTTTTCTTCTACTAACAAACCTTTATAGTTTATTAGATTTTAATTTCTGTCTAAAAATCATATCTGATATTTTAGACATTTATTTTGATCAACTGATATTCTTAAAATCTTAATCTCTTATTCATCACGAGGATTTTCGTAGAATCTAAAATCTAAATAAATGTCTCTTTCCATTCAATTGTTCCTATGTATTTACGAAACCCACATCTATATTATGGAAAATTTAGATGGTTGTTGTCTCCTTTCTGTACAAGTTTTAAGTATTGATTTTAAAATTTTAATTGATAACACATAACATTCTTCTTAATGAGATAGATTATATATACCGAAAAGGAAAATAAAAGACACAAAAAATAATGGAACCTCATTTTGTAATTATTTTATTACACTATTTAATAATATTACAGCAGTCCCTCTTCAAAATATTTTTTAATTTCAAAATACATCGATATAAATTTTTTATTTTTATTTCTTACTTACCAGATATGCATCCTAAGGAGGAACGTTGTTGTAGATCGGCAAATAAAGTAAAACAGCCACTTCCTTTACAACATGAATCAAATGCCCTCATATTCTTACCAGCAAATGAAAGAAGATGCTGCATAGAATGCACCTGCCAGAAGTGTTGCCATGATGGTGGTTTTGATAGGCATTTTCCCCTTGTCATTTCTCAAAGCTATGGCTTCGTAAATAGGCCAAGAATTCACCACAGCAAAACCTGATATGAACATCTGCGCAAATAGTCCCTCCAAATCGTTTCCTCTGAAAACTTCAACAAGCCCTTGGGAAAATGAGATTAAATTAATTATGGCTGCCAATGTTAGGGAGACAAACATGGGTGAATGTACCCCAAACTCAAAGATCCCTTGTTCGTATCTTTTACTCTGTTCAGCATCAACTGCTTTGCTTGTGACGGTAAAGCCAAATGCTGAAATTCCCAAGAACTTGAGGAAGAACTCTATGGAACCAAAGAAGTAACATGTTATTCCCCTTATGATCCAAAACCGCTGATCACTCCACCATCTCTGGATTGTTCCTCCCGCTAAGATAAATTCAAGCCAATCTTGACCATAGGCCCCCAAGAAAAGAAACGCATACAAGAAAAACCATGGCTCTGAGACCTACAACACATTTTTTCCAGTTTTTATTTTAATAATCTTAAAAATAAATTTTTTTAATTCTAAGGAAAACAGATTTCGATATCAGATATTCAACTCTTGTGATTTCTTCCGTGATGGAAATATTGTATAACTGACATAATTAGAAGATTGTATGTTTGTTATAATTAACAAGTACAATTAACAGTTTATCGTCTATAAATTCACAAACAAGCGTTCAGAACATCTCCGTTCAGTATTGAATTTTATAGCACTCGAATATCTCATTGGATTGGGCTTAAGCATCTCTTGCAGACCAGTTCTACATGATTTCCAGGAAATTTCCTTCATAATTTACTTTGAAAAGACTATATTTTAGCCCCTTAATTATATTCAGTAATTTTACGTTCAGGCCCTATCAATTAAGAATTCGAAAATTTATAGTTTTTCAAAATTGCAACAAGTAAGAATGTAAGAATGTAATTTAACTAAAAAAAATTATAAAGATATTATTTTTCAAATATTAAAATAACATATTGAATCAATTTATGTTAACTTGGATTAATCTTACTTGAATTAATCTATCAAATTCACAACTTAAATCACGAAACCATGATAAATTATAAAAACTAAATCTAAATAAATTATAAAACTTAATTATCAACCAATCAAATATTAAATGATAAAATTAAATAAAAAATAATTAAAAAGGATAGAAAAATATCATAACTTGATCCAAGTTAATTTATTAAATTCACAACATGAATCATAAGACCATGAAAAACAAATAAAAAAATAATTAAAATCAACCTCGATTAACTTGTCAAACACATGACAAACTAAAATAACCTTATAGAAAGCAAATAAAAAAACTCATAAAGCACAATTCTCAATCAACTAATTATTGAAGAATGAAATTAAAGAAAAAAATCAATTTAAAAGAGGATACAATAAAATAATCTGAGTCAATCCAAGTTAATTAACAAAACTTATGATCTAAGTTATAAAATTAAGATAACCTAATAGAAAATAAACTAAAATAAATAATAAAATTTAATTTATAATCAACTTAATGTTGAATGATAAAATTAAAAGAATATATATCAATAATAAAAAAAATTAAATCAACTAGATTAACTCATCAAACACACAACACATGTTATGAGAGTGAGATAATTATATAAAAAAATTACAACAAATTATAAAACTTAATTTTTAATAAATAAATATTAAAAATAAAATATAAAATAAAATATTATAAAAAAACCATCACTTCTTTTATATTTATTTTAATAATTAATTAACGTTAATTTTTAATTTATGTTGTTGTTAGGAAAGCATAGCATACCTTTGGGAAAATAGAAACTTTGTTGAGAAGTGCTAGCTGGGGAAGGAAAGCGTACGTGGTGATCGGAATAGACCACAGTGGCCAAAATGCTAACCATGCATAACCGAGTCCCATCAAAGGACCCATTCTCCTAACACCGTAAGTTGCTGGGCTATATTTAGAGAACCCCACCTCAAGAAGTCCGACCGACCATCTCTTTTGTTGATCAAGTGCATCAATCAAGCTGTTGGGAACATCACCGAAAAATGCAGGCCTATCAGGATTACAAAATGCCGACTTCCACCCCTCGCAATGCATCCTGAAACCTGTGTAGTAATCCTCAACCAATGATCCATATCTGAATCCGATCTGCATATTTTACAACCAGTTACAGGCGAAGTTGCCATGTGAAAAACACAGAAATCTGAACAGTAAGTAATCGATGACTTACCTTAGAGCCCCAGTCGGTTTGATTTTCATAATTGCAATTTGCTACTCGATGTGCCAATGACAAAATAGATTGGGACTGGATAGGCTTGTCTACAACATAATCCGGGGCTAGTTCAGGAATCTCTGGTAATATTAGGCTTGATGGACTTCCGAAAAAAGATCTTCGTCGAAAGAATCCTCCGGTTCCGACATGATTAGGGCCGCTTAATCCATCAAAACCCAACATATTGATTTGAAACAAACGTTTGTATTCAGCATTATAGATATCACTTTTGTTGATTCCTTGGAACAGTTGAGGAAATTGAACATACGCATAGTCGGGCGGAATCGCTTGATCACATAGATAACACAGTACCCGTAGAGGTGTTTGAGGATCATTCGAGCGGAAGTCACAGTCTAGAGATAAAATCACGGGTGCATTGGTCATGCTACCTGATACTCGTAGCTACAACGCAAACAAGAGCATGTGTATTAATCTACTAATTAAGAACTAGCAAGGTGAATTGACATGTACTGCTAACATGAAAGTGTACAGCGATATATTTCCAAGCAATGGTGGTGTCCCAACTCTAAAATGCTGTGCTTGTGGAGAGGCATGTGTACCAAGGCATTAAGGGCGCCGGCTTTAAAGTGGTGAGGTGAAGCTTTGCTTTTTCCTCTAGAGATATAGATGAGATTTGGCATGGAATAACCATCGATGTCTTTGTCCTTGCTGGCATCTAGCAAAACCTGCCCATTGTTCCAAGAAATGTGTTAGGATACAAGAAATAGGTTGGTGAATTTCCGAACTCTTGTAAACCATCGACGGGGGGGCTTGTTTATTGAAAATGTGCAGGGTGGGCCGTTGATGGTTGCCATGACCCGGCACAAACTGTATCAAACCTTCGGAGAACAAATTATGACGGTGGTTAAAAAGAAAAGGGGTCTGAGAATAATGTATGAATCCAAACCTGAATCACTGCGGGATGATCTTGTCGGGTGAATTTATTACTCCATTTATTGAAAGCTTCTCGTTCATGGTCACTCGTGATGTACTGATCACCAACTGTACCTCTCTCAAGGACCTGCCCTACTTTGACTTTCATGCTTTCATACATCATCTATCACATAACCAAGAAACAGTATCTTTATCGATCCCAAGCACTTGTATAATTAATAAGATAATCTCTCAAATCAAAGCATTCGAACTAATAAAGGATTTTGTAAATATGCAAAAGTGGAGCACATGTTCTCTAAACCAAGAGAATGTTTATTTTACATTCCCTCTTTCAGAATCAATGCAATAATTGGCCACTACAGAAACTCTTCTTTATCCTTTCTTTCTTCTTTTTTTGTTACAATTGATTCTTCTTCTTCTTTTTTCTTTTAATTTTTACGTGTATTCCGGGCTAGCTGTGTATCTATCTATTCAGAGTGAATACTTTGAGTCTATTGTATATTATATTAATTTTTAATTTCAAAAATATTTTTTTGTTTGAAAATATATTAAAATAATTTTTTATATTAAAAAATAATTTAAATGAAAAATAATAATTTTACTTAAAAATATTTTTAAAATGTAAAAACAAACTTGCAAGCAATCGTTCCGCAAGCATACCTCCATAATCAGAAAGGTACCTCCCCACCCGAAATTACTAAGCCAAGGTCTAGAATTAGTGGTTGGAGGTCTAAATGCTAGTTAAGTTACTGGCTTGGCTATTTTCGATTCATCTTTTCTAAAAGTTCCTTAATTTTGATTAAAAAAAATCTCAAGTATATATATTAAGAGAACACCATCAATGTTACAGTATCTTACCTTAATCTTCTCAGACTCGGAGGTGTAAGGAAGATTAGATTTTAAAAGTTCTTCAGGGCTCCTCTCTAGTATGTTGTTCTTCTTACAAAATGGTAACCAGAGGGTAGCAAACTTAGCAGCCTCCATGAAAGCAAAGAGAGTCAAGGCTGAGCCTCCATCATCAGATATGTAAACTGATATCTTCTCTGTTGGATAGTCATATGCCATTACTGATAAAGCCGTATTCACTACACCTATCGGTGGCTCTTTGTATGGATCTGCAGTGCATACAAACACATCCAGAGCTGGAAAATCACTTCTTTTCAGGACTTTTTCAACGTTTTCAAGGAATTGCTTACGATAGACTGGACACATGCGAAAGGCCTGCGTCTTCAACCACATGAATGCAAGAACAAGGTCGGAGAATAAAAGGGCAAGGGTTGTAGAGAATGAGACTAGGGTAGTTGAGTAGATGAGCGTTTTAGCATGATAATAGAGCAGAGTTAAAATGGCAAGAGCATATATTGCTGCAAACACACGGTTGAAGATTGTTCTCCGCAAGGGCTTAACAGTGTGAAGAGGAGGAGCAGCATTGGTGGTGGCTTGTCCTTTTAAACGACCCTCCATGTTTTTTGGTGGTGCTAGCTATATCCCAAGAAGATGGTGGTTATGAAGGTCCTTATATAAAGGCCACACTGAAGAACTGATCAAGATGGTATTTTAATAAAAAAATAAATAAAGTCAACGGGTTACCACCGGGTTTTTGACCGGGTTTTGCCGGATCGTCCGGGTTTCCAAGTCAACCCGCCGGGTCGGCCGAGTCATAGCTTATCTTATTTTTTCATCAACCCCGGATCGGCCGCGTCCAAAAAAAATAAAAATAATATATTCCAGAAAATATTTAGACAAATAGATGCAACTCGCCAGCCTCTCAACTTATTCAGTGGTCTAAAGCTGCAAAATCACTCCTTCTCATGACTTTTTCAACGTTTTCAGGGAATTGCCAACGATAGACTGGCGGATCGGCCGGGTCCCGGATCAACCCGCCGGACCAAGCCGGGTTTTAAAACTATGCTCTCAGCTTATTCAGTGGTCTAAAGCTGCAAAATCACTCCTTCTCATGACTTTTTCAACGTTTTCAGGGAATTGCCAACGATAGACTGGACACAGGCGAAAAGTCTGTGCGTGGATCCACATGAAAGTAAGGACAAAATCCGAGAGTGACAAGGCGAGGTTTACAGAGCACGAGACTAGGTTTGGGGAGCGCGGCGGTGTTTTTGCATGGTGATAGGATAGGGCAAAAATGGCAAGAGCATAAACTGTGGCAAACATGCGGTTGAAAATTGTTAATCCCATGGGCTTAACCGTGTGAAGAGGAGGACCACCACCGGTGGAGGCTTTTGTAGTGCCGGATTCTTTTGGTCGACCCTCCATGCTTTCTGGTGGTGTAGCTAGTATCTCAGGAGCACTGATTGGTCATTTATAGTTCCTATCTATACAGAGCTATCTATTAAATTATATTATTTGTGTCACCCATTTTTTTAATATAATTTTTATTTAAAAATATATTAAAATAATATTTTAAAAAAACCTTAATTTTAACCTCAATACATTAAAATAATTTTAAAACATAAAAAAATTAATTTTAAATAAAATTAAATTAATTTTTTTAAAAAATATAATATCAACCATGTTAACAAACAATCATTAAATCAATATTGATGTCGAGGAACTTGAGATCTAATGAGTTTTTTGTTTTTGTTCTTACTCGTTTATTTAATTGAAAACAACATTCTATAAGATTCAAACTTATATATAACATCATTAATTTATGCATAATATTTTAGATATATAGAAGAATGAAGATGATTATCAGAACTGAACTATTTAATATTACATCAAATAATTATTTTAAATAAAAATATTTAAATTATCAAATAAAACTCAACAAATAATTTTATATATTAGGTCAAATAATCATTTTAAATAAAAAAAATTAAGTAGTTAAATGAACATAAAAAATTATTTTATAATACATTCTAACAGATATATCAACTAGTCGACCCTCTTGTAAGCCGCTCGACGCTCAGCTTGCTAAAAGGTTAGCTCGAACTCGTATGCTAACAACTACATTAACAATGAACTTATGCAAAACTATTTTTAAATCTGTCAAATGAGTCTCGGCCGTCCAATTTTCCAATGGTATCCTTCTAATTTCCAATAGTTTCAGTGTTATCCTTAACCAAACCTGGTTTTTATTTGTTCTCTTGTAGGATATTAAATATGAAAGTAGTTTGAGAGGAAAAATGGATAACAAAACTGGTTGGTTCACAAGAAATAGGTTGTTTGGAAACGCAGTTTGTAATTTTAATTTTTTAATTTAAAATGAAAATTTTTTATATGTTGGGATTATTTTAATGTAATAATGTTAAATATAATTTTTTAAAAATAAATAAATTTAATTTAATATATATTTAAATAAAAAGTATTTTAAATTATAATTATTATTACAATCTCAGAAAGGTCCAATATGTATTAATTTTTTAAACAAGAGCTATATAGACAGCTTTTTATTCTGTCAAATGAGTGTCGTCCGTCCGTCCATTTGTGGAGTAATTTCAATAATAGATTTTAGTGAGCATCAGCAATTTAGAAATGTTGTTTAGGTCAAAATATGGGGGCAAGAAAAGACCAACACTAAAAGTCTCGAGCATCAATCGACGAGTTGCCTTTGAGCCCAAGTTGCTTTGGCTTTCATAATTGCAACTTGCTACATGATTGCTCGTGCCAGAACTGACTGCGAATGGACAGGCATGTGATCGTTTGGGGCTTGTTCAGGAATCTCTGGTGATGCGATGCTTGATGACTTGCGTATAAAGCTCGCCGTTGAAACAAACACGCGGTTCCAAGTTACTGTTTATTGTGGTTAGGTTATTTTTTAAAATATATTTTATTTTAAAAATATTAAAATAATATTTTTATTTTTAAAAAATACTTTTTACATAAACACATCAAAATAATTTAAAAACATTAAAAAAATATTAATTTGAAACAAAATACAAAAATTTTAATTTTTTTCAAAAACATCTTTAAAATATAAAAATAAACAGAACAAAATTAATTTAATACAAACATTTGAATTGGTATTGTAGATAATTAAACTACATAATTATTTTATTTAAATATGTAAGTTTAAAAATAATATATATTAAAATTTAAATATTTTTTTAATTTTTTTATTCCTTGTTCATCATTGACTAAACAAAATATAAAAATAATCATTTTATTTTATATATAATTATCAAACATAATTTTGTTTTTTTTATCATGTCTTTTTTTATCTCTATTATCTGTCTCTTATGTCTTGATACAATAACCAGATATTATTTAAATTGTTCATTAAGTTTTATTTCATAGTTGTTTGAGAATTGCCTTCTAGAAAAATAAAAATAAGGTTTGTTGACCATAATCCTAACTAATATTCAATTTTATTTGTTCAATAAAAATTTATTTATTATATATAAAATATTTTTTATTTACATGTAAAATATTTTACATCAAATAAATTTTATAATATTTATTATATAATAATGTGATAAATATATGATGATAAAATGTTGGTGATTTGTTATGGTAATGGGATAGCAATGACTTAAAGATAATAAGAGGTGATAATGATGATAATAATCGGGATAGCAATATAATAAGAGGTGATAATGATGATAATAATAATAACAATATATATAATAATAAAAGTAATAAAGGTGTTGGTAAAGTAGATGGAGTAATGATTGTAGCAGGATGGTGGTGGATAATGTAAGGATGTTGCCAGTGGCAATAATAGTGACGGGAAGGCGGCGATTGTAATATCATTGGTGGAGTGGCAGTGGCGAAAATAGTTGTTTTTCATTATAGGTTGGTGATCACTTGTGAAGTTTTTCAAGAAATTTTATGAAAATATTTTTTAATAAATAAATAAAAATTTCTAAGAAAATATTTTATATCTAGAAAATATTTTAAGTTAATTAATTTTTTTCATTAAAGTTTTTCATCTAGAAAATATTTTACATTGATTAATTTTTTTTATAAAACATTTTATACAAAACATATGTGGTGGAATATGTGCTCTCTTATTCTGGGGTCCTTGACATGGAGGCTATGATAATAACAATATCTCAAATTGGCTACTAGTCAAGGGATCGAGAAGCTTATGAGTTTCAAGTACCACCTCTCTTCAAGGCGTGACTTTTCAAAATAAAACCCATCACAAGTCTATGAGTTTGAATATTAGACAATTTCTCTTGAGAGAAAAATTAAAATACTAGTTTTGATCCATCAAATATAAATTTTATTACACTCAAACCATGTAAATAGTCTAGCAAATATATATTTAAATCAAATAATAAATATAAGCCTAAAAAAGAGAAAAATTAAAATACTAGTTTTGATCAATCAAATATAAATTTTATTATACTCAAACCATGTAAATAGTCTAGCAAATATATATTTAAATTAAATAACAAGTATAAGCCTAAAAAAATATCTAATCATAATTTAAGATTTAATCATTAAATCATGTTTAAAATTTTGTAAAAGATTATACAAGCCCAATACTATAGTAATTAAGTGGCTATAACTAGCCTAAGTTAGGAAGGTCTTTCTAAATTAGGCTTAGAAGATGTTGTTTTATTAGTTTTGTTAATTTTATAGTTAATTTCATAGATTTAGATTAATTTTGCAGTTTATGTTATTTTTCTATTTGAATTAGATTTCTAGTTATTTCTATCTTGTAAAGATCAATTTAAGGTCTATTTAAGAAGTGATTATCCATGTTTTAGAAATAGGCTATTAGAGTAGAATTATTCAATAATAAAGCTACGAATTAAGGTTTATGTTCCTATTTTCTAGGTCTGGTTGAATCACTAACCATGTACTCGATTTGGACGAACATCACCACTATCTTTGATAAATAAATAAATAAAAGAAGTTAGTTATATGCTCAAGTTGCTAAAACTTTAGAAATTTTCAAAGTTAAAAAAAAAAAAATTAAAATACTTACAAGTGATTATTTAGAAATTTTCAAAGTTAAAAAAAAATTAAAATACTTACAAGTGATTGGTGGTGGAAATGTTTTTTAATAAAAATAAAATTATTAGAATGCACTAAAAGAGTTGGCCTTTTTTAAATAGTGCATTTCTTACCTGTGTAGGCTCAACTCTATTGTTTATTTCTATAGTATTTTTTTTTGTTATTCAACTTTATTTCTTTACAATTTCATCTTTCTAGTTTATATTAGATAGTTTTATATAACTATATTTATTTCGCTTTGCATGCTCTCACCCACATCAAGTGTTGAGGAATATCAATGATAAATAAAATATTAATGTTGTGAAATAAAATTTTAGGTTATAGTTTAAAAAAAATAAAAATAAAGATCTAATTTAACCTAAACAAAACAAAAAACAGACCCTTTTCATTTTGGAATGAAAAACTTCATTTGGGTCCCTAAAAATTCAATTTATTTATTTGTTTGTTTGGTCCCTTTAGTTTTAGCTTTTTACATTTTGGTCATAAACTTCTTCTTTTTTACATTTTAATTCCTAGATATTGAGATAGAAGAGAGAAAACCAATAGAAAAAATTGAGGAGAGAGAATGTACTTAATGATTATTTTATGATTACTAAAAT